AATTAACTGGTGACTTCGATCGACCCAGTAATTAAACCATAATTAGAGAGTCAATTGAAGTAGAGAAGGTCGCAACGCACTAAGAAATTTAATAGAGTATACGAATTAAATTGTACGATGAGCAAAAATACTCCCGAGTATAGAATTTCCACTTATAATTACTGTACAATTGCAAACTGATAACAGTTTGTAATTGTTATCCAAATTTACAAATGAGTCGAGTATAAATTCCTCTAGGAGTAATCACGAACAGACTATATGCACAGGAATAAGTATATACATCATTACATCCTTATTGTCATTCCACATCCCTACATTCTTAAATTCGTTTCACCGTATTACCTAAATAACCCCTTATCCTTGTATTACGTCAAACAGTCTGTAGACAAAGGGTGAGTAAATGAAAAAAAATAATACTACACATTCTCCCTCGGCCTAATAATAAAATATAATAAGACCGTATCATCTACCATTCTCCATAATTTGCAGTTCATAAAATTACAGACGGTACCCGGGTGTCGCTTGTACCTATAAAAATAAATGAGGTTGGGTCAGAAGATAAAAAACAGATGTGTCCGGCCGATAAAACAGGCGCACGAGGTATATCGAGCCTTGATGGAATTATGTGGCTGACATTTACCACAAGGCTACGCCATTCAAAAGCAATCTTATTGTAAGATCGACGTGCACTTTGCGAACTGCTCGCGACGACTGGCGCCATCTGCACGTAGATCCGGTTATATTCTAAGGAACAGTCAGATTATCCATATAGTTTGAATTTAATTAAAATACTTCGAAGTACCCACAACGTAGGCCAAGATATTTCGAAACGTTTGACAAAGCTCGAGAAATCGTGACTAAAGGAGTCCGTGAACTCATTTAACTGAGGCTCTAATCTTTACCTGAACTCCGCCGACTCCGACAATGAAGAGCAGCTGTACCATAAACAGAGCCGCCAGAAGATTCATGAGGGTCGTGCCGGCAAGACTTCTCAGATCAGAGAAGAGGCTGAAACAAAGTAAAAAGATTGAGAGACGTTGATTTACTGCCATTGCGATCGTTATTATTATTATTGAAGTAATAATGGCCGCAAGGTAACGTCCATTAGGTGACACCGATACCTATAGTGGATTGAAAAATAAATTAAACAAAATATTTTTTTTAAATTCATATTAACATCGGTATTCGATGCAAATTGGAAAAAATTTTTTTATTTAATACTCTAATGACATTTGATAAAATATGGTATCAATGGTTTCGTGAAATTGAGGAATAATTATGTACGATCAGATTAGGACGTTTTATATGAAATTCATAAAGTCACATGGCAAGCTGTCAGGTTATATGACGACCTACGAATTGCGGGTATTACCAGGATTTCATTAGAACCTTATAGAGTGGTGACTTGTCATTGAAATTTAGTCACCTGCAGGGAGTGTTGAGATTTGGAAATATCTGGCTTCGAATTTCTAATTTCATTCGACCTTTTGCTACCTTATAAAACGCAACGGGATTCACGTGGATCAGTGAAAAATTCGATGCTTCGAATTTCTAGCGGCGAAATGGATATCGAGTCTGAGGTAACCTAACCTATATATACATGGACATATAATCAGTATGCCTGCATACATCTTAAACTTGGATGTTCAATCGTGAATTCTTCAAGGAAAAACGCAGGTAATCGGACCGTCCTGTAAAGGGCCTATAGGGATTGACTGAAAAGGTTGCCGAAATGATTTTTCGACGGTAAAAAAACGCAGACTGACATAATTCAGAAAATATTTTTGATTCTCTGGATTTCTTATGAGGGAGAAGGAGTAGCACTCAAGTCAGGGGGGATGAAAATGAAAAAAAAAAAGAAAATCTTCCGCCAAACGCCGTGACGGCAGTCGAACGAAGACTCCCGAAAATGGTGAAAATTTTAGTGAATATTAACCACGTGACTGATAGTTCGTGAATCCATAGGATATTGCAAGGATTACGGCACAGCGTAGGTAATCGTGAAAACTGACAGAGCCAATTAAGTTTTCGTTACGATAAGCATATACGTACGATTAATCAAAGTCTTATCTGTTCAGATAGGTGGCTCGATATAGGCTAGGTTATAATATGGCTAAAACGCCGGGATCGGAGCCTGTGGCAATTTCGTTTCTTGCCTATCGGCTAAGTTCACGGCCTACGAAAAGGATTCCGAGATTGAGTGAGATCGCGTGAGGTAGGGAAATGGACGTTTTGGGAATCCGAAGATGGATTACTGAGAAATAATATTTTGGAGATAAAATTTTGATTTTTTCTTTTTCAATAAAATACGATAAAATTTCAAAATTTTACTATAAAATATTGATTTTTAGTAAAAAGGTTGAAAAATATATCTCGAGCATTATTTATTTCTAGATAAAAATTTCTAGGGAAAAATAGGGGGGTGACGTATTTTTATTTTATTTATCTAGTATACATTGATATTCCGTCGCAGTTAAATCTATTACGTCACTAAATATAATTTTCTCTCTTACAGCGAATAACGAGGCGCACCGCCAGAGAAACTTGGAAACTTGATTTATCTCGCCTGAATTGTTCGACTTTTCGTCGTTTTGTTGCGGTCACGTTCGAAAAGTTTGAATCGCCGGTAGGAAGTTTGCTTCGGTGGAAGATAAAGTAGAAAAGTAAGGATAAGGATATGGGTAGGCAATGCTTTGTTGCAATGCATCGAGCTAAGCCTCGTTTGGCCTATAAGTAAACTGTACATTTGTCACATTACAAGCCAGGTCTAATTGTGCCTGCAGATGATTTAAGGTGCTGAATGAATACAGTGCCTTGACTTGGGACGCGCGATAAACGGCGGCCAATTTTTACAATCCCTCTGGTGTCGATCGACCGAGACTGAAGCGCACGTGGGAAACTGCGATGGAACGTAAAGCGTGATGGGTCTAAGAGAAACCAAAGTTACTGAGGTCTGTTGCCAGTAAAAACAATAAAAAACAAGAAAGAAAGTAAGAGTGAGAGAGCGAGAGAGAGGGAAGAGGAGCTACAGGAGCAGAAGAAAGTAAAAGCGAATGAGCAAACTGGCAAAGTCAGTAACCCAGTCAGTATTAGGAAGCGAAAAAAGTTCCACTGAGATTTCCTCCTCACGTAATGCTACGTCGAACAGTTAAGAAAATGTAACGAGTTTTCGAACATCAAACAAGTTCAAATCCACTTGGACAGGAACCACGTGAGAAACATTGACGATCTTGAAAAAGCAACGGGCATGCTCAAATTTCGAGCCTGACAAGACTCTTTTCGATTTCAATAAAAGTGGGACTGTGAGAATTTTGAAAAATTCGGAAAATCCGTATTTTCGATGAAACATACATTTGACATTCAGTGATTGTCTATATACGTGTATATTTTTTTTTTTTCAAAAATATAGTTTCCTCCTTAACATTTACTAGATGAGCATGAAAATGGAAGATATGAAAATCATGGATAATTTTACTCAAAAAAGCTCATTAAGTTAATGGGAAAAGTAAAATAAAAAAATTTTACCGAAACGTGACGTAATGATCCCTCCCACGAACATACACGATATATAGGTATAAACATGTAAGGTGAAAATTCTATAGAATTGCAAGGATCAAATTAGAAATAAAAATTACTAGACTTGCTTAGTAATTACGAACTGCTAACAGATATCAGTATATCTTACTCGTGTGAAAAAATTTTAACCGCGAAATAACATTCATATGAGAAGCAGTGCATGAACATCGGGTTTACCCGATTAATTCCAATTGTTTAATTAGAGCCTGCGATTAAATCGGCACCTGTCACTCACACCAGAAAATTAGGAAGAATTTGCCAACCCAAATTCACATAAAGGTGAGTGCACACGTACTTAGAGGTACTTCGTATGCGCACTACTGTGCAGTACCCTGTAGACGTCTGTGCGCGCACTCGTCCAATGGTGAAGGGTCGTGCATATTATTTGCGTCGCTCTGTGGAGTGAAATGTCTAACGAGAAACTTGACAGGGTAAAGGTTGGCTCAGAGAAAAAGGTCATATATTGTATATAAATATACTAGTATGAAATATACCTACATATGCGGCTAGTAAAGAAAACCGCATAGCTGACCCAACATAACCTAACCTAGCACTTTGAAAAGGAAGCATTGCCAACTTACATGGTACATGACCATACAGCTGGAGGCACAGTTGTTCAGCAGAGACTAGAGCATTCTTGTTTGCACCTCTTTGTAGTAGGATTTAAATAACGAGCACGTACGAATATTTTTAGGAAAGTAAATATACTGAATAAAGTATATACATGTACAGTTCGTGGCAAAGGAAACTTGGGAAAGTGTGATGGAAAAGTGTATACTATAGTATAAAGATATTTCATGACAAATCTACCACTTGAAGGTGGTTCTACCATATAAATCAAATAAATAGGCTAACTTCAGATGGTAAGCTTGTCGCGAATATATATATTTACTTATTTGAATCATACAAAAGGAGTGTCGAAATACCGAAAATGCTTTATTCTTTCTGAAAGGATCTAAGGCTGGAAAACTTGGCAGTTGCGGTTGTCGTACAATGGTAAATTATCTTATACTGTTTTCCCTGTAAATGACAAGATCACCTACAGGCTCTGAAAGGTGAAAAGTTTTTCGAATATATATATAGAAAGAGAGAGAGAGAGAGAGAGAGAGAGAGAGTTTCAATCTAAGAGGATTTTGTAATTGCGATTTGTTTACCATGAAAGAAATTTCCATGAGAAAATCCTTCCACCCCCCCCCCCCCC